GTCAGTGCGTAGGAATTTCTGCAGATGTCTATGCTATTTGATCAAGAGGAAATAAATGATTTTTTAAATGAGTTGAGAAATGTTATTTAAAATTTTACGAATGTGTTTATTTTGTTTCCCAGAAGCTCTAAAAGTGAAGAGACCTCGTTTTGATGTATCACTGGTTTATTTAACTAGAAAATTTATGGATCTTGTCAGATCTGCTCCTGGGGGTATTCTTGACTTAAACAAGGTTGCAACAAAACTGGGAGTACGAAAACGAAGAGTATATGATATCACCAATGTCTTAGATGGAATCGACCTCGTTGAAAAGAAATCTAAGAACCATATTCGGTGGATGTGAGTTGGTTTCAAACTTTTCATAGCCTTTTTTTCCTTTTCATTAGGTGACAATTTCATGCTTAAAACAAACTAGATGATAGCAATGTTTTGACAATATTCAACAAAGTAAGATACGACTTCTTGTTAGAAAAGGATCCTATAAATTTTCTTACATTATCCCACGAAAAACATAATTTTTAAAAAAATTTCCTCAGTTCCAATTGATTATTGATATCACAGGAAATCTGTGAAGGTTATAAAATAGTGGTTTGCACACTGAAGTGCAGTGGACACCTAGAGCCTCCTGCTTCAGAAGTTATAATTCAGTAGTTCTGGGGGAAGGCAGGAATCTACATTCTCAACAGGCATCCTAAGTGGATATGATGCAGGTGGGCTATGGATGATTCTTTGAAGCATTCTGCCCTGAATATTAAAAAAAAAAAAAAAAATCAGACTTAATGTCTGAAAGGCAATTGCTAAAGACTTGACATGATTAGAAAAGACCCCACAGGAAGAGGACTAAGACATCGATGTAGTGCAAGGTATGTGCGTGCACATGCATGGAGGAGAAAAGCTATCACACCTAGAACAGGCAGGTATTTTGGATGAAGAAGAAACAGGTTCAGCAGGTAAGTGTATAGAGACCTTTCAGGCAAATGAAAAATCTGCCAACAAAGATCATAAAATGACTCTAAGTAATTAACTTAGTTATTAGAGGAAATGGATTCATAAGAGAAGTTATTTTTTCCATAATACAGAAATACAGATTGAATTTTATTTTGAACATTTTTACTAAATGATATTAAAAAGCACTTTAGGGACTCAGGTTGCATTCTGAATCACTAATTAGAATCAGATTTGAAAACTAGCAAGCAAAGGATAAAAGATAAAGGTAACAATTTTTCACCTGTTTATTTTCCATAAAGATTGAAGGAAAACTGAATATAAGTTGTTGCCTAGTCGTATCATACTGGAGTAGACACTAATAACTACAGAAAATACATCTTTTTACAATAACGAATATAGTCATTATATTCAGGTGGAATATACACAGTAGGGGAAAATACAGACTTATAAAATTTTAGCAGAGGAACTGTCATCTTGCCAACACTTCTTATTTTTCACGTGTAGAAACTAAGGTACTAAAAGATCATAACTTGTCAAAAGTTGTGCTGTAAGCACTAGGGCTGGGTATTATTGACTCTTAGGTCAGTGCTCTTTTTACTTCATTGGGCTGTGTCTATGATTATTCATTTCCATACGGTTGTAATATATTTTTTGAAAAAATTCCCTTGTAAGATGAGAAACTATAAATGGGAACAAAAAATAATTTATGTACAGGAGGAATAATGGCTATCTAGAATAGAGAGAGAGCAGAAGTTAAGTCAAAGTGCCTAGTTTTTGTCTGTCATTTTGGAAAACACCAAATGTAAACATTTGAAGTTCTGATGACCTAACTTGCAATTACTCTGTAATCTCCTACATGTTATTGATGGTGATTTTGATTTTTTTTTTTTTTTTTT